AAAGTATACTGTTGACACAATCACTTTAAAAACTAATGATAACATGGTATATCTCGAGTTTATTTGAAATGATTGAAGAAATTTCTGTTGAATGATAAACATTACTTAACTTCGAAATCCTTACACGATGCTCTTATCAGTAATGAGATGGTTGATATGCTAAATCGATTCTATTTTAAATATGGAAGGTGCTATTTTGTAGAGATCTTCATGATAGATCTTTTAGAAAAGCAGGTCAAGACTAAATGCTATGTAATCAATGAGATTTTAATAAAATATATACGATACCCATATTATTATATATGATTTAATTGTTAGATTGGAATCCTAAACTTGAAACGTTTGTATCTCAGATAAGTAGACTCATGAAGGAAAACTCATTTTAGGGCTTCTCTAGTCTTACTATGTCTTACAGAAAGTGGAAATATGAACCTTGAAACTTTTAATCAGTTGATAAGGTTCTCTCATAAGTTTACAAATTACAGACATCATTCTTCTCAGATGTACTTTCAGTTTTAATCTACTTATCCTCATTGTAGAATATATCTTCCACGTTATTAAACTGGATTGAAGTTTTTCGTTTAATATATTATAAGATCTATCTACTGCAGAGAAAGCTTTAAAAACTGACAAGCTTAATCATATACACGACTAGAAACTACTAGAAAAAGAAAATAACCATCTGCTATAACTATTCATATTTTTTCAGGACTTGTATTAAGTAGGAACAAATAATTTTAATCATATATTTTCATCAAATGAGAGGAAGTTAACAAATTTTCATGATTTTGAAAAAAAAAAGAAAACAGACAAAACAAAAAGGACAAATTACAGGTGAACTTTATTAATAGCCATTCATCTATTCATTTATCTCTAAAATAGAATTGAACTATATTTCATATGAAATATCTATTCAATTTTATTCTCTTACATGTCATTTTTGCTACTCCACAAATCAATCTTCATTATACAGATTGGGTAAGTGAAAATGAAAATAATAATGTATTACAACATGATTGTTTACGCGTTCCTGCTTCTATCAATGAAGCAAAAATTAGTCGTGAAATTATATCTTATTGTATGAATGAATTACCATCAAAATTTCATATCGAAAACAATGATATTTTTCCAAAGTTTACTTTTGTCGAACTTTCGAAATTAAATATTACTAGTCAACAATTATATTATTGGTCCGCTCCGATCGATCTTATTGAACGTTATCAATTCTATTTAAATCAATTATTAATATCAAATGCTGTAGTTCTCGAAAAACAAATATTCTATAATTGTACACTACCAAGATTTGGTTCTATGTGTCAATATGAAATTATTTATTATCATTCAAATCATTCATCTTTATATGAAGTGATTCATGATTATTATCGTTTATATGAATATAATCCTACTAATTTGGCATTTTACACTCATTTACAATGTAATCGTGGTTCGTTACCAGCATGTTTAGATTGGAGTGAAATATGTAATGGACAAGTAGATTGTCTTGATGGTAATTTCGATGAAGAACATTGTTGGCAACTTGAAATAAATGACTGTAATGAAAATGAATATCGATGTATTAATGGACAATGTATACCACAATCGTTTTTTCGAGATGATAGTCATACTCCTGATTGTTTCGATGGTTCTGACGAAGTTGCAAAATATGGTGCATGGTTTAATTACTGTAGTAAAGTAATTCCGTCATTTGAATGCGAAGAAAAGATATGTGAATATACTTTTTTAACAAGTTCTTGTGTATTACAACGTCAAAACTTACTAATAGAAGCAATCTATTCTGATAAAGACAATTCGGTATCTGAACAATGTTGGTTAGCATTTAAATGTGTTTTAGCAGTGCCTGGTTCAGAAGAACCGATGTGTCATAATATTTGTAAAGGATTCGTTTGTGTTGAAATTATACAAAGCACATGTCCGGATATGTTTTATATTCCGAATGTTCCAATTCTTTTTGGTGAAATTTACCTTCTACACACAATTAATGATTCAAGAGTTTTGGCCAGTAGAAATTTTGCAAGACCCTATGTATGTCATAACAATTCTCGTTATGATGAGTATTTCATTCATCTTCCAAATTTTGTTTTTGAAAATAGAACATGTTTCTATCCTTTAAACTTATTGATTAATTTGGCTTTGGTGCCTGACTGGTTTGTGAGATATCACAAACCATTAGACGACCTATACAGAGATTTAAAGCGATTTAATCTAGTTATGAATTATACCACTACAATTTGTAAGAAAGCAAACATGTACCAGTGTTTAAATTCGATAAAATGTATACCAATTAATCGCCTCATGGATCGTAGAAAAGATTGTCCCTATAGAGATGACGAGGACCTAACCAAAATGACTGATTCTAATTTAACAGAACTTTTAAAAAGTCACTTCAAATGTGAAATGACTAACAAGTACATTAGTCAATCGATTGTTCAAGATAAAGCTTGCGACTGCAAATTGGAAAACGAAAATTTTTGTGAAGATGAAGATTTTCATATACACTATGCAAGAAAGAATATTTCATTTCAAACTATTTGTGATGGATTTACTGAACTAATTCCAATAACTATCGACGGACAAAATGAAACAGATGAAACAGAATGCGAAAAATGGTCATGTAATAATATTTACACTAGTTGTGATGGTTTATGGAATTGTCCACGTGGTGAAGATGAAATTGGTTGTGATATATTGTCAACATTAAATTGTTCTGCATATCATCATAAATGTGTTTTACTTGATACGAATCAACTTATATGTCTATCGATAGAAAAAGTCAATAATGGTAAAGTTGATTGTCTTGGAGGTACTGATGAACCAACATTATGTCGACAGATATTTCAAGACAAACTGGTTGACAAATTTTTCTGCTTGAGACAAAACAGGAGAGAATGTATTTTATCTGCACAACTATGCGATGGTGAAATAATTTGTGATCATGGCGATGACGAAAAATTTTGTCAAAACAATTACTTAAATAAGTCTAACTCTTTGGGAATTTGCAATTCGGCTCATTCTAGTATTCGTTCGGATGTCGAACAATTTTTATGCCATGAAGCAACGGTGAAGACAATACAAGAAATTAAATATTTTTCATTGGAAGAAATGAGCAAAAATGTAGATGATCAAACTAAGAATGTGTTTAAGTCATTATTTCCAAGTTCATCTATCATTAAACAATTTCATCAACATAAACCTCGATGTCATCGTGGTTTTGATGTACGCATTTGGTTAAACAATCAAAAGAATTTAACAACAGACATATGTTTTTGTCCACCTAGTTTTTATGGTGATCAATGTCAATATCAAAATCAACGCGTAAGTTTAACTATTAAATTTCGAGCACTATCAGATTCTTGGTCAACATTATTTGCAATAATTATTTCACTTATTGATGATAGTGATGAAAGAATTATTCATTCATATGAACAATTCACTTATTTATCAATGAGAGATTGTAAAGTTAAATTTAATATTTATTTACTTTATTCAACTCGACCAAAAAATCAAACAAAAAATTATGCAATACATATTGATATTTATGAGAAAGTTTCATTATCCTATCGAGGAAGTTTATTATTTCCAATCATATTTCCATTTTTGCCTGTTTATCGTATGGCATATAAAATTGATATTCCACAAAATAATCAAAACATGAAAAGTTGTTCAAATTCTCGATGTATTCATGGAAAATGTATCATGTATTTAAATAATCGACAAAATACACATTTTTGTCAATGCTATCAAGGATGGTCTGGACGATATTGTACGATTCCACATAGATCTATGTGCTCATCCGATTCATTAAATATTGGTGTTTCTGCTTACAATCAATCGATATGTTTATGTCCTATTCATAAATTTGGTTATCGATGTCTTCTTGTCAATACAATTTGTGAAATGAATAATAATTATTTGAAATGCCTAAATGGTGGTAAATGTATACCTGCTGATGAATATACAATTTCTAAACAAAAATTTCTATGTATTTGTGCAAGAGGTTATATTGGTGATCGATGTGAAATAGTTGATAATCAAATAATTTTATCATTTAATAATGATATTGTTTTATCTCAATCAATATTTATTCATTTTATTCAAGTTCTCAAAGATGGTCCACCTGTTAGAACAACGACTTTTCGAACGATATCTCTTATAAAACATTCACTTACAATTTATTGGTCACACCCATTTAATCTTATTTTTATTGAACTTTTAAATAAAATTTATTACTTAGTTATTGTTCAAAAAAGTTACGAACAATCAATAATAATTAATAAAACGATAAATCCATCGGATTATTGTCCACATATGAATGAATTATTTAATGAAACATTTGTTAAAATGCATCTTATTCGTCGTATTAAATATTATCATTTACCATGTCAAAATTATTCATTAAATATTTCTTGTTTTCATGATGATCATCATATTTGTTTATGTTATGATTATAAACAAAAACGTTTAGCCAATTGTTTAGATTTTAATCATAATATGAAATTTGATTGTTTAGGTGAAAGTGTGTGTGAAAATAATGGTCAATGTTTTCAAGATACTCCAGATTGTCCTCAAAAATCAATATGTATTTGTCCATCATGTGTTTATGGAACACGTTGTCAATTTAGTGCAAACCTATTTGGTTTATCACTTGATCCCATCATAGGTTATCATATTCAACCACATATTAATTTTACAAATCAACCAACTATTGTAAAAATTAGTTCAGCATTAACGATAATATTTATAATCGTAGGATTTGTTAATGGAATTTTATCTTTAATTACATTTATCAATAAGAATATACGTGAAGTTGGTTGTGGTTTATATTTATTAGGCTCATCAATTACTACTTTACTTACGACGATCATATTTGGATTAAAATTTTGTATACTTGTATTTGCACAAATGGCACTTATATCTAATAGATCATTTTTAAAAATTCAATGTTTATTACTTGATTTTATTTTACGAGTTTGTCTTAATATAGATCAATGGTTAAATGCTTGTGTGGCAATAGAACGTGCAATAACAATCATAAAAGCTGCTCGTTTTCATAAGAAAAAAAGTAAACAAATAGCTAAAATAGTTATTATTATTATTCCAATTGTCGTTATTGTTACAACAATTTATGATCCTTTTTATCGACGTTTAATCGATGAAGAAAATGAAGATGATAAACGAATATGGTGTATTGTTAATTATTCAATTGGTATAAAAATATTTAATTCAATTATACATACTTTTCATTTTTTAGCTCCATTGATGATTAATATTACATCAGTTATTATTCTCATAACAAAAAAGACTCGTCACAGATCAAATATTCAGACTGGTCGATCTTATATAGAACATTTAAAGGAACAAATTCATCAACATAAACATTTATTTACTGCTCCAGTTATATTAGTCATTCTTGGATTACCACGCTTAATTCTTTTATTTGTATCAACATGTATGAAATCAACAGATGATGCATGGTTATTTCTTGTTGGATATTTTATTTCATTTATTCCATCGATGCTAACATTTGTAGTATTTATATTACCATCGAAATTTTACAAACAACAACTTCGACAAACTCTTACCACTTATCTAACTCAAATTCAACGACGTTTTCAATTTATTATGTAAAAGTAAGGAAAAAAACAGAGTTTTTATTAAAACTATTCGGTAGCTAAATATAATATTCAGTCTCTTTTCTCATGATTAACATACGAAATTAGAAGAGTTATACTACATCATTATGTAAGCCAACTACAAATCAATGTTTTTAGAAATCTTCATGTTAAATGATATTTCATTTGATGTAGCTTTTCTTTTTAGATTAATTTTGAATATGCTATTTATTAAAGAGCTTATATTCCAATAGTCAAAAATGAAATAAACTATAATATTTTATATCTTCTTATGAAAAAATGAATAGGCTGACATCATTAACTCTCTCTCTATATATATATATGGGGCTGGTCAACCTAGCCGGAGGTCCCGATTTATTTTTCACCGCATAGTTTCTATATTCGACCAAAACGTATGATTTTTTGCCCGACATAGTACTAATAAAGAGCTAATGAACCGGTATAGTTTCGACTATATACCTTACTCGAATCCAAAAAAAAAGCAGATAGTCTTATAGAATCTTTCTTGAAAACACACTTTTATCAGATTTGCCACCGCAGGTCATTTTATTCATCTGAAACAATGAAATAGAGAAATAAAAAATATCAGTTGGAAAAACTCGATTACATCTGTATCATTATCTTTCATTTCGAATAGGATGTTTATTTAACTTAAGATTACAAAGTGCAGAGACTGCATGTGCAACTCGAGTAATCTTATCAAAATCATCATAGGCACCTCTGTAAATACTTCCTCAAATGGCATAATTTGTAATACGTTGATTGATGTTTTCAATCGCTGCTCTTGCACGGGAAATTGACCGATTGAAATCTTTATCTTCAGCTGTTAATTCGCCACCACGAGGTTTCTTTCTCGGGGTTATGACATATTGTTCACCGATATATCCTTTGTCNTATAGAAGGCTTGGAGAAGTTTTCTTTTCTTTTTTATGAGGTGATAGAAAAAACGAAGCTCTATTTTTCTGTGCTATTTGATCGCTTTTCAACTAATATCATAATAATAAAATTTTGGTAAGAATGGTTTTTGTGTAAAACTTATAACTATCAGTTGATGTAGATTAAATGGCTACGCTTTGCATTTCAATTATTGCTTGCGTATTCCTGCTTCTAATAACGAAACAAATATTAATCATGAAGTTATATCTTATTGTATGAATGAATTATCATCGAAATTTCATATCGAAAACAATGATATCTTTCCAAAGTTAACTTTTGCTGAACTTGCGAAATTGAATATAATCAGTCAACAATTATATCTTTGATCTGCACCGATCGATCTTATTGAACGTTATCAATTCTATTTAAATGAATTATTAACATCAAATTCTGTGTCTCTCGGAAATCAAGTCTTCTATAATTGTACACTACCAAGATTTGGTACAATGTGTCAATATGAAATTATTTATTATCATTCAAATCATTCATCTTTAAATGAAATTTTTGATGATTATTATCAGTTATATGAATATGACCCTACTAATTTGACCTGTTATACTCATTTACAATGTAATCGTGGTCCGTTTCCAGCATGTTTAGATTGGAGTGAAATATGTGATGGACAAGTGGATTGTATCGATGATAACTTTGATGAAGAATATTGTTGGCAACTTGAAATAAATGAATGTAATGATAATGAATATCGATGTACTAATGGACAATGTATACCACGATCGTTTTTTCGAGATGATGATAATACTCCTGATTGTCTTGATGGTTCTGATGAAGTTCTAAACTATGCTAGGACAGTTAAGTACTGTACGAAAGTAATACCATCATTTAATTGCGAAGAAAAGACGTGTCGATATTCTTTTCTGACAAATTCTTGTGTGTTACAACGTGAAAAAATACTACTGAAAGCAATCTATTCTACTAAAGATAATTCAATATCTGAACAATGTTGGTCAGCATTTAAATGTCTGTTAGAAGTACCAGGATCAGAATGGCCATTATGTCAGAATATTTGTCAAGAATTCACTTGTGTTGAGATCATACAAAATGCATGCCCAGATATGTTTTATATGCCGAATATTCCGTTGTTTTTTGGTCATATTTACCTTGCACATACAAAGAATGATTCACTATATTTGGCCAATAGATTTTTGCATCACCCTATGTATGTTATAACAATTCTCGTTATGATGAATATTTTATTCATCGTCCAAAAATTTTTTTCGAAAATAGAACATGTTTTCTTGCTCCTAAGTTACCTTCTCTACTGACTCTCTCGACTACATGGGCAGCAAGGTATACGAAGCCGTTATATGAATTATACAAGGACTTGAAGCGATTTGGTCTAATTATTAATTATACTACTGCAATTTGTAATAGATCAAGCATGTATCAATGTATAAATTCAGTCAAATGTATTTCAGTAAATTGCCTGATGAATGCTTGGCACGATTGTCCTTACGGAGATGACGAAAACCTAACGCAAATCATTCACGCTAACTTAACAGAACTTTTAAAAAATCATTTCAAATGTGAAATAACAAACACGTACATAGATCAATCGCTTGTCCAAGATGGATATTGCGATTGCTCATTTGAAGATGAAGATTGGTGTGAAGATGAAGATTTGAATATGTACTATATTAGAAATAATATTTCATTTCCAACTATTTGTGATGGATTTATTGAACTAACTCCAATAACTATCGACGGAAAAAATGAAACAGATGAAACTGAATGTGAACAATGGTCATGCAATAATATTTATACTCGTTGTGATGGCCTATGGAATTGTCTACGTGGTGAAGACGAAATTGGTTGTGATGCATCTTCAACATTAAATTGCTTTTCAAATCATCACAAATGTGTTTCACCTGAGACAAATCAACTTATATGTCTATCTATTGACAAAGCAAATGATGGTAAGATCGATTGTCTTGGCGCCACTGATGAGCCAACATTATGTCAAAGGAACTATAAAGCAAAAGTTAACGAAAATTTCTACTGCATGAAAAATAACCAAAAAGCATGTATTTCTTCTGTAGTGCTATGTAATGATCACATATATTGTGATTATGATGATGATGAAAAATTTTGTGTAAACTATCGCTCAAATATTTCTTCTGATGAGAATACTTTTGATTCATATTCTTGTATTACTCGTTCTGATGTTGAGTAATTCTTATGTCGTGAAGCCAAGCACAAGATAAAGCAACAAATAAAATATTTTTCATTGGAAGGAATGAACAAGTCTGTCAAAGATCAAACTAATAATCTGACAAAATCAGTATTTTTAAGTTCATCGATCATCGAACAATTTCATCAACATGAACGTCGATGTCATCGTGGTTTTGATTTACGTATCTGGTTAAACAACGAAAAAAACTTAACAACATATACATGTCTTTGTCCACCCAGTTTTTATGGTAATATGTGTCAATATCAAAATCAACGAGTAAGTTTGACTATTCAGTTTCGAGCATTATCCGACTCTTGGTCAACATTATTTGCAATAGTTATTTCACTTATTGATGATAGTGATGAAAGCATTATTCATTCCTCTGAACAATTCACTTATCTATCGATAAGGGATTGTAAAAACAAATTTAATATTTATTTACTTTATTCAACTCGACCAAAAAATCAAACAAAAAATTATGCAATACATATTGATATCTATGAAAAAGTTTTGTTATCTCATCGAGGAAGTTTCTTGTATCCAATAATATTCCCATTTTTACCTGTTTATCGTGTAACATATAAAGTTGATATTCCACGAAAGAATGAAAACATGAAAAGTTGTTCGAACTCTCCATGTATTCATGGAAAATGTATCATGTATTTAAATAATCAACAAAATTCTAGTTTTTGTCAATGTTATCGAGGATGGTCTGGACGATATTGCATTTTTCCACATACATCCATGTGTTCATCCGATTCATTATATATTGGTATCTCGGCGCTCAATCGATCAGTATGCATTTGTCCTGTTAATAAATTTGGTTATCGATGTCTCCTCACCAATACAATCTGTGAAATGGATAAAAATTTAACATGTCAAAATGGTGGTCAATGCATTCCCGCTAGTGCATATATGATATCAGATAAAAATTTTATATGTATTTGTCCAAAAGGTTATACTGGTGATCAATGCGAAATAGTTGAGAAAAAAATTATTCTCTCATTTGAAAATGATATCGTTTTATCTCAATCTATATTTATTCATTTCATTCAAATGATCAATAATAATCCATCGATGACAACAACTACTTTTCGAATAATTCCTTTTACACAACAATTACTAACAATTTACTGGTCACGACCGTTTCATCTTATTTTTATTGAACTTCTTAATAAAATTTATTATTTAGCTGTTATTGAAAAAAATTATGAGCGATCAACAACTATTACTAAAATGATAAGTTCATCAAATCGTTGTGCACATATAAATGAATTATTTAATGAAACATTTGTTAAAATGCATATTATTCGCCGTATTAAATATTATCATTTACCATGTCAAAATTATTCATCAAATATTTCTTGTTTTTATGATGAAAGTCATATTTGTCTATGTTATGATTATGGACAAAAACGTTTAGCAAATTGTTTCGACTTTAATCATAATATGAAATTCGATTGTTTAGGTCAAAGTGTTTGTGAAAATGAAGGTAAATGTTTTCAAGATGCTCCAGATTGTCCACAGAAATCCACGTGTATTTGTCCATCATGTTTTTATGGAATACGATGTCAATTTAGTTCAAGTAGGTTTGGCTTATCACTTGATCCTATCATAGGTTATCATATTCAACCACATGCTAGTCTTATGCATCAACCGAATATTGTAAAAATTACTTTAACATTAACGATAATCTTTATGATAGTAGGATTTACCAATGGAATTTTAGCTTTAATTACATTCAACAATAAAACTATATGTGAAGTTGGTTGTGGTTTATATCTATTAGGTTCATCAATTACTACTTTACTTACAACAATTATATTTGGATTGAAGTTTTGGATACTTTTACTTGCACAAATGGCACTTATAAATAATAGACTCCTTTTACAAATTCAATGTTTATCTCTTGATTTTATTTTGCGAGCTTGTCTTAATATAGATCAATGGTTAAATGCTTGTGTGGCAATGGAACGTGTAATAACAATTATAAAAGCTACTCATTTTCGTAAAGAAAAAAGTAGACAAATAGCTAAAAGGGTGATTGTTATTCTGCCAATTATCGTTGTTAGTACAACAATTTATGATCCTTTTTATCGACGTTTAATTGATGAAGAAAATGAATATGATAAACGAATATGGTGTATTATTACTTATCCGAATAGTATAAAAATATTTAATTCTATTATACATACTTTTTACTTTTTGGCTCCATTTATTATTAATCTGACATCAGCTATTATGCTCATAACAAAAACAACTCACCAAAAATCGAAGCTTCAGACTCGTCAGCCTTATCATGAACATTTAAGAGAACAAATTCGTAAATATAAACATCTATTTACTGCTCCAGTTGTATTAGTTATTCTTGCAATACCACGTTTAATCCTTTTATTCATATCCAAATGTATGAAATCAACAGATGATGCATGGTTATTTCTTGTTGGTTATTTTATTTCATTTATTCCACCTATGCTGACACTCGCAGTATTTATAGTGCCATCTAAATTTTACAAAAAGCAACTTCGACAAACTCTCACTGCGTATCTAACTAATATACAACGTCATTTTGAATTCATCAAATAAAAGTGAGAAAAAGAGTAGATATTTAGGAGAGTTATACAAGATCATTATATAAGTTAGTTGCAGTCAAATCTTTTTTAGAATTTTTCATAGTAAATGAGACGTCCTATCATGATATTTATGCATATCTCAAAGAAGGACATTATGATCTACTTATGAAAAATATCGCAGATCATGATCAGTTAATTTTAGCGATCAGCTCCTAAAAAATTATCAAACTGACTGTACCAATACTAATCATGATTAAGTATGATAATCATATGCAAAGCTATTTTCTGAGGACTAATTTTTCATAAATGAAACAGTTATTAATAGCTTATATCTCATTTAGTATCTGGTAATTTGGAATGAAATAGAATACTAAAATTCATCTTTCCTTATGAAAAACTGCATTGACAAGTCATATACTAAATCTACAGACTTTAGAGCGCTGTTAGAAGCTAAATTTTACTTTATTTTTTCGAGACAGTGATACTAAACTATGTTAGAGATAAATTGAAACTTATGAAATATAGATGTCATCTTCAGCGTGAAAGCACATTTAGTAACCGCTTCTCTAAAATCGTATTTTGATAGTCTCAATGAAATTTTCTAATCGAAATTGATTTTATATTTAGTGACTAGCAAAATTTAATGTTGTCAAGTAGCTAGAACTCATCTAATTAAAAATTTTTAAAGTCGATACTTGTTTTTTTGTAATTGCTGATAGAACGTTTAAAATCGTTTTTTTTATATGAAACTGAATTGTTTTTCTAATGCAAAATATAAATAATATCTTTTTTAGAGGATTCATTTGTACATCATATGAAGACTGCCAAATCATGATACAAGTTTAAACAGTTTATTGTTGTCTCCATTGTGTTATTATATGCTATATTTGTATGTTATTGTTTTACTTGTCTATCAAAGCCTACTTAACGTTGTAAGGCAAAGCTTCGTATTTGAATTGATAAATCAAAAAAACATCCATGTTATTATCTAATTCAATCATAAGAGTAAACATAGCTTGATATTTTAAACTATTAGACTTGAAATATCCATTGATCATTGATGAGCAATAGTTACCACAAAGATATCACACCTTGCACAAAAATATATCGAATCAAGCTGAATATTTCACTAGCTCATGACTTCATCAACTTAGTACTCGTTGATATAAAACCTATGAATTTCCTATCGGCATTATAGTTTATTTGGAGAACATGAAATACCATCTCTAAGCTCCAATAATGATCATTGTCTTGACTTTAATTACAGCTTAGTAGTCTGTATTTCTGATTTCTAACTTGAGTTTCCCATCTTTAGGTCTACAGTATGGTCTAACAAAAGTGCTGTAGGTTGTTAAAGTGCTGTCGGAGAAGAAGCACATAATACATTTTACTAAAAAGCGTAAATTTATTTTTAATTTACGCGTTCTATATGGGATTTTGTTACTTTCTTCGTGAGATTTCATATACTTTTAGTAGATCTGTGGTCTTGAACCAACGCAGAAAATGATGTTTTTATCGATGAAAAGTATACTAACTGTATAAGAGTTGATAAGTATAAATAGTTTTTTTCTTAAACAATTAAATTTTTATTTAAATCATGGATACTTATTTTGATATGCTTTAACTGTTGTTCTAATCTAGAAGGTTCTATTCAATTAAACAGATTAGATCAATTTTAATTTATCTACTTATTCTATCATTATAGTTGCTTGAAGACAAACTTTGAACATCTGACACTGAAAAATAACCATTTCATTTTATTTAAGCTTTTATTAACAAATCACAGTATCGTGAGCAAATACTTTAAGTGAACAAAAGATAATTTTTATGATAAAACTGTTAAGAAGTAACTTAAAATATACGCTTCTTGATTTTTTTTCCTCTTTACATAATTTCTGGTAAAGGATACCGCCGGATAAGTCAACAAATCTGCCCCCCCCCCCACCCAGACAGCGTTCTAATTAGTTTAAAAAGAAAGCCCGAAAATTTTTACGTAGCTCTATGTATTTTTTTCTGTAATTTCTTTTTGTCCAATGGATTTTTGAAGAGGCATTCCGTCTGAGGGGTATATGCATTTTCCATCATGATAAATTTATAGTATTGACTCTTGGAAATCCTTATTGGTTAATTGTTTTCTTAAGTGTCATATACCAAAAAGATGCAGCCAATTTTGCTCTACAAAATGATTATAAATGATCTATGTTTAATGCAGACAGAGGATGAAAGTCAATTACATCAATTTATGACATATATGCGATTTTTAGTGTTTTTTGAAAAAAATGGTTCCAGTGTAATGCACCGTTCTCCCTTATAATTCAAATGACAAGATTGAAACTTTCCCAGAAATTAGTCCTTGAAATCTTCTACAAAATGGGCTAATTTTGATTCGAATAAAAGTTGTCCAAATGGTTCAACCACTCACATACATTTTTGTCACTGCAGTATTTTGATATATTCGAAATATATTTTTATGAGAATTTTGTTGGAAAAAATGTTCGATAAAATATATATTAACATTAAATACGCAATTAACTGAGGGTGGTGTGTGGGTGTGGGTGTGGTGTGAATTTGACTATTTATTACTACATCCACAGCCGCACACCCCACCCCACACCACCCACACCAAGCCATTAAGCTCAATTATTAAAAGAAAATGATGGACATTCTTAGGACACACATTAAGAAAAAGTTCAAACGGTATAAGCGATCAAATATTCAACTTGTTATTAAAAAATAATATGCAAAGAAAAAGGAAGCAAGGGCGACCTAAAGACACTTACAAGAAAACAATACTCAAAGAAATTCATAACAAATGGGACAACATAGAAAACATAGAAAAAAATAAAAAATTGTGGAAGAAAATGACGAATGCCCTTTGCGCCTAAATAGGCACTATAAGAAAAAAGAAGATATTTTCAGCTTAACATTCAAAGGATAAGAAGAATCCAACAAAACGGAAAAAGATGTTTTATTGTTTCGAACTAGATAGTTCATTACAACAGAGACCTCTGACTGAGTATCTATTGTGAATGAGCACTATTTTTATTATAGATGTCAGCAAAGTGCAAGAGGAAAAAGTATTACGAATCGAATTACCAAACAGTACGTAGCTATTAGAAGAAATGTTTATTATTTTAATATTTGGGATGTTTTCCAAGGTACATCAATACTTAGTACCGGCACTTCAGTAAATTGTACTCAAGCAAAAAGTATTCGTAATTGTGCTTGCTGCATTTGTACTTATCCAGTCTCTGATCCAAATATACTCCAAGTATATATATGGAGGCCCATCTGAGTAACATTATATAAAGATTACGCATATGTCACACTTTTCCCTTGTTCTATATGAAATGGCGAAACTCTTATTGGCGGAGAATGAGAATCTCGATATTTTAACATAAAAATTGGCCATTTTTGAATTGATTACTGACCAGAAATTATTTTCTTCGAAAAACGTAGAAGAATCTGGGTAGTCATCGAAAAGAATTTTTTATGTAAGCAAGAAACAAAAAATTACAATTTCTTTCGGATTTTTTCAAATGTTTCTTTATAGTCAATAAAATGTGGATGATTTGAAGGTAATTTTTCTTCAGCAATTTCTAATGCTTGTTGAACATTTTTCATTGCCAAACTATATTTTCGAGTGGCCAAATATAATTTTGCCATATTGTAATATAGTACAGCTAAATCAGGATGATTTTTTGGTAGTTTCTGTTGACGAATTTCTAATGCTTTTTCAAAATATGTTAACGCTCTTGAATACTCCTTCACTTTACGATAAGTTTCATCTAAATTTATATATGTCGTGGCACAATCGAGAGGATTACATTTAACATTTTCTTCAATCGCTAGAGCTTTTTGATGAAACGACAGGGCTTTTTCATAATCACCCATCAATCCATAAACGTCACCTATATTGGTATATCTTATACCAAAGTATGGATGACTCTCAGGTAGAGTTTTTAGATCTATTGCGAGACATCTGTTGAAATAATCTAGTGCCTTTGGATAATCTTTCATAGAACGATAAACTCTTCCAAACCAAACTGTATGTAGAAGTAAATGCAGGGTCACCTTCTTGAAAGGATTTCTGTTGAATTTGAAGAGCACTTTGTAAAGCTCTTAGAGCCTCCGGATAATTACCCATCTTTTCGTAACAGGTTGCGAAACGCAAGTGACTCCCAGCTAGTGATGGATGATTCGCAGGCAGAGCTTTCTTTGTGATTTCAAGATATTTTTCGTAAAATTCAAGTGCTTTTGAATAATCACCCATCTTGTTATACACTACACCAATGTTATTGTAGGAAGACGCCAGATGAGGATGATTCGAAGGTAGAGATTTTTCGTAGATTTTATGTGATTTTTCGTAAAATTCAAGTGCTTTCGAGTAGTCACCCATGTTTTTATACACTTGTCCAATGTTATTGTAGGAAATGGCCAAATCAGGATGATTAGCAGGTAGAGCTGCTTTTCTTATTTGAAGTGATATTTCGTAAAATTCAAGGGCTTTGGAGTAGTCAGCCATCCTGTTATACACTAGAGCGATGTTATTGTAGCCTGTACTTAGATCGACATCATCTTCAAAAGAATCTCGTTCTTTGATTTGAATTGCTTTTTCGTAAAACTCAGCTGCTTCTTTGTATTGGCCTTGATTGTATTTCACCAGACCATGTTGATGATAAATAACGCATCTATAACTATCATCAGATGCTTGCTTCAATAGTATTTCATACAATTCTTCAGCCTTGTCAAATTGACCTAGTTTGATTAGTAATTGTCCCATTCGATACCATCCTATTCCATTTATTTCTGCGTTCATCGTAGCAGTAAGATTCGCCAGTTGTTCGTCATTGTCATCAGTAAGAGTTAATTGCACTTCCCAGAAAGGTCTGTTGTTCATCGTCGTTTGTTTAATATTTTGTACACGAAAAATGGTGTGCATTGAAAAAAGTATTTCGTTTTCTGTTTTAACAGCTGAATATTCTTCGATGTAAGCGAATGGCATGTTTGTTTGCGATCCTTTTACTGGTTCAATTGTCATTACGAATAGGACACCGACGATTTCTTCAGATTGTTGTAATGCTCTGTGAAGAAATTGTATTGCTACACTTTGTTTGGTAAACAATCGAAAAGAGGAAAAGAAATGAATGATTCTGTGTTGGCCACGATATAGCTGAAATAGTGGCCAACAAGCGAATTGTGAATATGGCTCATTGAGAATTGTCAAATGCCAATTTCAGTGCAGAAATTGCATTTTCTTTTTCATCATAACAACTTTCAAAATTCTTTAATTTTGGATGAAGAATTGTTGCCAGTTTATGTTCACTTGTAATGTGCCAAATAGTTTTTATTCGACGAGCTAAAATTCAGAAAACAAAAGTGTATCAATAATAAAAAAGACATTCATTAAGTAAAATTTTTATCAAGTACAACGATTTAAAGACAATTAGCTTGTTTTCTCTCACCTAAAAATAATTTTAATTCAGCTACTGCTGTTGAATCTTCTTCAGTACTTTCACATTTATTAATCAAACATTGACGCAACGGTATCACTTGATGTAAAGTAGGTTGATGATCTTCACTGAGTGCTTCAATAACTTCTTCAAATGGTTCAAGTAAATGACAAATATCATCAAGTGATTTTTTATCAATTAAATTATAATTTTCCATTGATTTGGTATTTGTTAATACTAATGGTAACTCATAAAATACCTTTCGAAAGATATTCAGCATTGTCATTGCACCATTGAATCTCGTTTCGCTATAGATTTGTAATTTCATTGATAATTGTTGCTGGCGATGTGAACGTCTAACATTGGTAACAATTTTTTTCACTTGAAGGAAAACATTTTGAGCTGTTGCACAATTAACACTCTCAATTTTATTTTTATTTAAATGAATTTCAGTTGATTCGAACGCGTGCTGCAGTTGTTTGTTAAGATAATGGTCTGAACAACCTATTCTTGTACAATTATCACGAAATGCATCTATCATTTTCACCTCATTATCAGAAACAACAAATTTAGATGAATTAAGTTGTAAATTATATTCTTGTAATTTACTATTAACAAAAGCACGAAAATGTGTAGCTAAATGACTAGGTGCATCGTAGACATAGCAACCGAGAATAAATGATAATAATCTAAAATTGTCATCGACGTATCGCAAGGCAATACCACAATAATTTATCCCTAAAAAAAACAAAAAAAGATTTGAAAGCTTTAACATCGATAGATTTAATGGTTAGCATTCGTACCCGTAAATTTCTCTGTCCAACTGCCCACTACCACACAAAAACTTTTCAATTTTTCACAAATCTGAATCAATTGCATTTTTGATTGTTCATAAATCCTTCCAACATTCCTACTAATCTTAAATTATAAAACAGTAAGATTAAAAATAATAGTAATGTTCTTTAAAAATCTTATCTTTCTTACGGTAGTAGGATGTGGAAGAATATCTTCTATTTGTATAGATGAATTAGTAAATGAACGACCGGCATCAAATAATACTTGTGCTAAATTTTGAAAACCATATCCAGTCATTGTATCAAATGCTCGACCATCTAATGCCGAAAACTCGGCACATGCTTGTGTTACAGATAATTTAATTTTCTTTGGGATTTGTATTGTTTTTGAAGATGAATAGAAATCATGTACTGTTGTTTGATTAAGATCATTTAATATTATTTTTGTTTTTGAGCAAGAACTCAAATGGGATTTCAAGTTATTAGTACCATTTGTTGATGTAAATGCTAATAGTGTTTTACATTCATTGCACGATACAAATTGTTGTTGTAAATTATTCACGAAGATTTGATGAAAATGTTCCCACATTTGGCTAGAATTCGTGTTTTTTTTTCTTTTGTACAAATCTTACAGATTTATGATTTTCAACTATCAATTTTTCAAGTTCTTTTCTTGGCAAAAACTTGACCGCCATTTTTCTTTTTTTTCTATACACAATAAATGAAGAAAGTTCACAATTGATTTTTTAATGATTCCATAGTTTTCATTCATTCGTTTATTTGTTTATCCATTTGTATGTGTTCAGAATTAAGCACTAAAAGATATAAGAGGTCGCTCGTTTNATCACGTCTTTTGGATAGGATGATTTTCGATTACTCGAAACCCGATGGTTTCCGATGGACTCGAAATCGAAACAGAACGGACAAAAAATATATATATGACATTTTCGAGGGCTCATCGTGGCCATCGCATGAATTTTTTTGTCTGCTTGGGTATAGACGTATATGTATCATAAGCACCATTATATTTGTTGATGTTAATGTATGTTTGAACACATCCACACCCTCAAAGTCCATTTGTTTGTTCAATGAGAAACTGAATGGCCGAATAAGAATATATTGAAAACATTCTCTTCAATAAAAATAAACTTAAGTTCGTCTTATTCATCATTTTAATATGGAATACAAACGGCACTGAATATATAGACAGTTGGCATGGTCAATCTCCAACTTGTTCCTTTGTTAACGGTCATTTTATGATCATCAAAAGACCCTCGATACGATATCTCTGGCTATCTTTTCTTCTTTCTTTTCACTCATTTTTGTTATTGTTTGTTTCTTCTTCGCTTCTCTTATCTTAAGATATCATGTTTATGTATGTGAGAACATTTTATTATACATATTCAAATATAATAAAAGGAAACTCGTTGGATACGAGCTAACATCTTTGTTTATGTAGATATTGAGAAAACTTTCATTTCGAATGAGTATTTCAAAGAACTACAATTCTCATTATATACAGAGCAGAGTTGAAACTGGACAGGTTTTTTCTATCCGGTTCGGTCCTATCAGACTAGCAATCGGCCGTATGAATTTTACACTCAAACTGGCAAAAGTCCAGTGAAAATAACCGATCATTAAAGTATCTGTTCACATTAAATGGTGACGAAGGTGAATTAAATATTCCCATGTAGTAATTCGAAACGGAGACTAAAATTTGGAAATGAAACTCTCACCATAATATTTTATAGCAAGGTGCATCGAGTTTTCGAGTCAGATATCGATATAAATTCAGATCAAATATGTTTTTTCACCTTTATTTCAAAAAAGAACAAAAGCAAGTCCATAATAAATCTAATGCAGAAATCTAAATATTTACTTTTCTTGGTTCAGACAGCTGACTAATTAGAACAAGAAAATGAATCATTTGATCTAGGTTGAATTGAGTGGCATACGAGAAAGAAAGCAATAGAGATTTAAAAAGAACAAACAATCGTTTATAGTCCAGTCGAAGACAAGATATCTATTTAGTCTTTCGCAACTGAAATTGACCACATCTTGTTGGTCTAAGCCTCTTTGAGAACCACCAAGACATCAAATATATTTGAATCAAGTAAAATACATTTTTTATTGAAATCTGTCGTGCAATTGAAAAATGATGTTCTAACCATTATCGTCAATAATCAAAGAGAAGAATGTAAAAAGAGGAAACGAGACGATGGCAAATGTTCAAAATCAGCAACAGAGACACCACACAGATATACAGATCAGAACAATAATTTTTCAATTTAAGTGCAAATGAATATTAACGAATTAAACGAAGAATAGTAAAGTGAAGGTAAAGTGTCATCCATATTAGAGATCCTATGGTGAAAATTTGTATAAAGGGACAAATATCAGCTACATGTTCACGTAAAGAAAACCATTAAACTCATTATACATGACTTTGTAAATCATCCCGGCTGAGTAAACTCTAAAAATATTAGAAGTTTGATTTGTTTTTAAACAAATGGTGCAAACAGTAAATAATAGAAACTTAGTGTTTGTTGTTTTAAATTATTGACTATAATAGAAATATCCTGTTATTAATAAAATATTCTTATCATAAAAAACATTTAATACAAAATTTATCTACAGGATCTTATGATAAATTCATACATCGGAATAAATAACATGCAGGAATACTCGCTAATCTCATTTCAATGCCTGTTCAACTAAATTAGCTTCGACTCAAACTATTTCAATGACTTTTGCATGGTGTCAAACATGCAAGAACGTGTTTTTGTTGTTCGTCAAATTTTGAACCTGAAATTATAGTTATAGTTTTCATCATTATTGTGTTTTCCAAAACTATTTATTTATAATCTATTCGCAACAAGCATACATAATAAACCAAAGTTTAAAAAAAAACAAAGTAGATGAATTCTTCTCTAGTCAACTCTCGCTTGTAAGACCACTGGCGATTTTCTGAAAAATTTCTAATTTTTAGGAAGTAAGAAAAAAAATTAACACTCCTTGAGAAGTTCTTCCACAGGATCTTCTTAGAAAGTTATTTTTCTCGTGAATTTATTGCAAAAAATACACAAGAATTTTAAATATATTCTAAATCGCATGTGTTCATAATTAATTATGAGTCCAACGGCAATTATCAATTCAAAAGATTTAATTCTATTTTGGTTTGTTAATCCTTTGGATACAGAGCCCTTATATATAGAGTTTTGAAATTAAGCTTAGGAGAACTACCCTTAGATACAGTAAAACTGAGACATTTACTACGGATTTTATTAGTAAGCCTACATTTAGCTCAACCTAATTCATCATCATTCAGTGCAAATTTGCTTTATAAACTCAGTAACAAAAGAGAAACTTAAATTTGTAGATTACTGTTTACAATTTGTTCGTGAAATCTTAGAAATTTCTAGTGCTTGAAAACCTAGGATAAATCGTCTTACATTGATTTATCAGCCAAGTAGACTCACTGGTAGACATTTTCCATATCTTTCACCTTAAACAACCAAAAGAAAAACTCCTAAAAATAATTGTGTTCTGTATGCACACACTATAATCGAAGACCTAGAGAAAGAGGACTAATTCATGCTGTATGTGCAAAGATTATAATGTAGCTCTTTGTGTTGTTCGCTGTTTCGAGAAATTTCATACTGCTTGGATGCATATTTTATTTCTATTGTCGCAAAATAATCATCATGCATTTTTTTGCATGACATCTAAATACAAAAAATTATGATTAATAATTTTCAACTAGAATTGATTTGGTAAGTGAAAATCCAACTTTTTTCTGCACAAAAAAGTCGGTCCTCAAAGAATTAATAGCCGACGTCACTGAAACAGGAGAAAAATTATCATAGATTTTGCCACAGCCTCTGTCATAACCTATTAGTGCATTAACACACATCTGTTCATCATTTAATAGATCAAAGAAATAATATTGAAAATCCAATATAACTTTGTTTCCTTAAGACGAAACTTATCATGAAACAAATATTATTTTATGTCGCCAACAACATATATGCATTGAACTTTTAGTTCAAAAAAAATAGATATCTTTGTCCTTAAGTTCATTTTTCGTTCCTATCCGTCTACCAATATTTTATCGTATCTATATCAAAAATTACTCATTTTATAACTATTTTATTACTTGAAATTCATTGGAAAACATTTATTTGTATCATTACATATACTCCATGTTAGTACATTTCATTCAAACTTGTGTAGTAGTTTCATGTATCGAGAGATCTACCAATTATAGAATAAAATAAGCTTTTGAAGCTGAGCAGTTTAGTTAAATCTGCCTCAGACAAGCGTCATATAATTGATACTAGAAAAGAACCAACAGCTGGTATAACCATTCATGTTTTCATTAACAACTACTTAGCTACAACATCAAGGAACACACGATTTATTCGTATATTATCATGAACCTCAATGAAGTCAATAGTTCCTAGTGACTTGTTATAAAACGAAAAAAACAATGATAAACTATATATGCACTCGATAAATAGTCATTGATGTATTCATTTGTCACTATATCAAAAAAATTATAATGTTGCACATGAGATATCTATTCAATTTCATGCTCTTACATTTATTTGTTGCTACACCACAAATTAATCTTTATTATACAGATTATGTAACGGAAAATGAAAGTGAAAGTAATAATGTATTAAAATACAATTGTTTACGTCTTGCTACTTCGATTGATAAAGCAAGTGTTAATCGTGAAATTATATCTTATTGTACAAATGAATTAGCATCGAAATTTCATATTGAGAACAATGATGTATTTCCAAAATTTACTTTTGTTGAACTTTCCAAACGAAATATCACTAGTCAACAATTATGCATTTGGCCAGCACCGATCGATATTGTTGAACGCTATCAATTCTATTTAAATCAAATATCAACATTAAATGATAAAGCTGTGGAAACACAAGTTTTCTATAACTGTACATTACCAAGATTTGTTTCTATGTGTCAATATGAAATTATTTCTTATAATCAAAATTATTTATCTTTATATGAAATAATTCATGATTATTATCGTACATATGAATATAAGTCTACTAATTTCACTTGTTATACTCATCTACAATGTAATCGTGGCCCTTCTCCAGCATGTTTAGATTGGAGTGAAATTTGTGATGGACAGATAGATTGTCTCGATGGCGACTTTGATGAAGAACATTGTTGGCAACTTGAAATGAATGAATGTAATGATAATGAATATCGATGTACTAATGGACAATGTATACTACAGTCGTTTTTTCGAGATGATATTAACACTCCTGATTGTTTTGATAACTCTGACGAAGTTCCAAAATCTGTTGCAGAACTTAAGAAATGTAATTCAGCTATACCATCGTTTGAATGTCAAGAAAAGACATGTAGGAATACATTCCTGACAAAATCTTGTGAAGAAGAACGAAAAAATCTACTATTAAAGACAATCTATTCCACCAAAGACAATGCTATATCAGAACAATGTTGGTCAGCTTTCAAATGCCTCTTAGAAGTACCAGGTTCAGAAAAGCTATTTTGTAGTAAGATATGTGAAAAACTAGTTTGTGTAGAAATCATTAATAGAACATGTCCAGATATGTTTTACATGCCGAACGTTCCATTTTTTTTGATCAAATTTATCTTGTACATGCAAAAAAATGATTCATTATTTTTGGTAAGTAGAAGTATTCCAACGTTTTATATATGCTATAATAATTCTCATTATGATGCATTGTCAATTAATCATCCAAAGTTGTTGTTCAATAATAAAACGTGTTTTCGTCCTCAAGGACTACCATCTGTCTAGCTTGTGGCATATTCATGGGACAAGAAATATTATGGATTTTTATATCAGCTTTACAATCGTCTAAAGAAATTTAATCTAATTACTAACTATACTTCTGCAATTTGTAATAGATCAAACATGTACCTGTGTGTTAATTCGTCCAAATGGATCTCAGTAAATCGTTTTATGGACAGTTCATTCGATTGTCCTCAAAACGATGACGAAAATATAATCCAAACGAATTATACCGATCTAACACAACTTTTAAAAAGCCATGTCAAATATGAAATATCCAACAAGTACATTCATCGATCGTATGTTTATGATGGAAAATGCCACTGTGAACTTTTTGTTTCATATTGGTGTGAAGATGAAGATTTTCATCGACAATATGCCAGAAAGAATATTTCATTTCAAACTATTTGTGATGGATTTACTGAATTGTTCCCAATAACTATCGAAGGACAAAATCAAACAGATGAAACGGAATGTGAACATTGGTCAGGTAATAACATTTATACTCATTGTGATGGTTTATGAAATTGGTTGTGATTTATCTTCAACATTAAATTGTTCTTCAGATCAGCATCCATGTGTTTCACCTGATACGAATGAAATTAAATGTCTACCTATTAAGAAAGCAAATGATGGCGAAATCGATTTTCTTGGTACAACTGACGAGCCAAGATTATGTCAAGAAAAATATGAAGGAAGATTTTTCAAAAATTTTTACTGCATTAGCGGAACATCTCAATGATGTATTGAAATGAATGGTCTCTGTGATAATATGCAAGTTGTAATCATAGAGATGATGAAAAATTTTGTGTAAAAAATCGAACAAATGTTAGTTTATTTAATGGTATTTGTCGTTCGTCTCATTCATCGAATCGTTCTGATATTGAGTAATTTTTATGTTACGAAACAAAAAACAAGATAAAAGAGCTAATTAAATATTTTTCATTGAATACAACCAATAAATCCGTCAAAGACTAAACAAATGATATAAAAAATTCTATAATTTCAAGTTTATCTCGCATCGACCTGTCTTATCGATGTGAATCTCGATGTTATCGTGGTTTTGATATACGTGTTTGGTTAAATAATGAAAAAAACTTAACAAAAAACACATGCCTTTGTTCGCCTAGTTTTTATGGTGATATATGCCAATATCAAAATCAACGAGTAAGTTTAACCATTAAATTTCGAGCATTATCAGATTCTTGATCAACTTTCATTTGCAATAATTATTTTACTTATCGATGATAGTGACGAAAGAATTATTTATTCATATGAACAATTTACTTATTTATCATCAAGAGATTGTAAAATGAAATTTAATATTTATCTACTCTATTCAACTCGACCCAAAAATCAAACAAAAAATTATGCAATACATATTGATATTTATGAAAAAATTTCATTAACCTATCGAGGAAGTTTATTGTTTCCAATAATATTTCCATTTTTACCTGTTCATCGTCTAGCATATATAGTTGTTATCCCACAAAATAATGAAAATATTCAAACTTGTTTAAATTCTCAATGTATTCATGGAAAATGTATTATATATTCGAATAATTCAAAAAATAATAGCTTTTGTCAATGTAATCGAGGATGGTCTGGACGATATTGTACTATTCCATATAGTTGCATGTGTTCATCTGATTCAATATATATTGGTGTGTCTGCTTACAATCGATCTGTATGTGTTTGTCCTATTAATAAATTTGGTGATCGATGTCTTCTTGTTACTATTAATATGTAAAATAGATAATAATTTAATTTGTCAAAATGGTGGTCAATGTATTCCTGCTGATGAATATATGATATTGAATCGAAAATTTTTATGTATCTGTCCAAAAGGTTATATTGGTGATCGATGTGAAATAATTGATAACAAAATAATTTTATCATTTCAAAAAAATATTGTTTTATCTCAATCAATATTTATTCATTTTATTGAAATTATTAATAATGGTACACCGATAAGAATAACAACTTTTCGAAAAATTTTTCTTACAGAAAATTCACTTATAGTTTATTGGTCACAATCATTTCATCTTATTTTTTATTGAACTAGTAAATCAAATTTATTATTTAACTGTTATTCAGAAAACTTATGAACGATCAACATCAATTAATAAAATAATTAATTCATCAGATCGTTGTCAACATATAAATGAATTATTTAATGAAACATTTGTTAAAATGCATGTTCTTCGTCGTATCAAATATTATCATTTACCATGTCAAAAATATTTATCAAATCTTTCTTGTTTTTATGATGATCTTCATATTTGTTTATGTTATGATTATGGAAAACAACGTTTAGCAAATTGTTTTGACTTTAATCATAATATGAAATTTGATTGTTTAGGTCAAAGTGTCCATGAAAATGAAGGTCAATGTTTTCAAGATAGTCTAGATTGTCCACAAAGATCAATGTGTATTTGTCCAACATGTTTTTATGGAACACGATGCCAATTTAGTTCAAGTGAATTTCGTTTATCACTTGATGCTATATTAGGTTATCATATTCAATCACATATTAGTCTTATACATCAGCCAAATATTATAAAAATTAGTTTAACATTGACTTTAATCTTTATGGTAGCAGGATTAATCAATGGAATTTTAGCTTTGATTACATTTAACAATAAAACTATACGTGAAGTTGGTTGTGGTTTGTATCTATTAGGTTCATCAATTACTACTTTACTTACGACGATTATATTTGGATTAAAATTTTGGATACTTGTTCTTGCACAAATGATACCTATATCTAATCGATTATTTTTATATATTCAATGTATATCTCTCGATTTTATTTTACTAGTTAGTCTTAATATGGATCAGTGATTAAATGCTGTTGCTACAGAACGAGCAGTAACAATAATAAAAGCTACTCATTTTAATAAAGAAAAAAGTAAAAAGATAGCAAAAATAGTTATTGGTATTCTTATGATTTTTACTATTGGTACTTCTATTACTGATCCTCTTTATCGACGTTTAATTGATGAAGAAAATGATGATTATAAACGAATATGGTGTATTGTTACTTATTCATCTAGTTTAAAAATATTCAATTCTATTATGCATACTTGTCATTTCTTAACTCCATGTATTATTAATTTGGTATCAGCTATTATTCTTATAACAAAAAAGTCTCGTCAACGACCAAATCTTCAAATTAATCGAAATTTTAAAGAACATTTCAAAACACAAATTCGACAACATAAACATTTATTGACTGCATCAGTTTTACTAGTTATTCTTGCATTACCACGTTTAATTCTTTCATTTGCATCAAAATGTATGAATTCAACAAATGATGCATGGTTATTTCTTATTGGATATTTTATTTCATTTATTCCACCTATGCTTACATTTGTTGTATTTATATTACCATCAAAATTTTACAAAAAACAACTTCATCAATCTCTTGCTGCATATCGAACTAATATACAACGACGTTTCCAATATATTATATAATAGTAAACAGTTTTTTTTTTGACAACTGAAACAAGTACTGGTAGAATTGCTAGATTACCATTATCGACAGAAAAAGTCCATTTAAAAAGAACTGCTTCCTAAAATTGTGAGCTGTCAGAGATCTAGTAGTTGTTGATACATTCCTTAAAATAGGGCTTATGATTATCTAGAATGTCTAGTAAATCATTAGACAAAGAAAAATTTACATATCTTCGTCATATTCATTAGAAAAACGTTATAAAAATCGTTTTGAAGTATTTACATTTGGCTTTAAGAAAGACCAGTAATCTTTCACAAGTTATGAAAAAAACAATTTATTTATTCCCTTATGGTTAAGAATAAACGACATCTAATTTTTTCGACTAATTGTCTATAGTAGTGTTACTTGGACCCATATTTATACTATAGATACATATCGTGTTATTTAGTGTACATGGAAAGTTTCAGTCATAAACAGAAAAATATCTGTTGATAAAACTACAATATTAATTTTTTATAACTTGTGAAATGTTATTGATCTCTGTTGAAGTTAAGTGTACGGCTTAAAAAACAATTTTGAGAAGTTATCTCTTATAAATATGAGTTATGAACACACTCCATACGCAGCGATAAAAATAACAACCCATATGGTAGACATATGGAAAAGATATTTTAATTTTTCTTTGTTTAGTGATTTTCTGGACACTCTATAATTCTATCCAAGACTAAAATAATTATTATTTCTTTTTTAGATCATTCATTCAAGCATCATATGAAGATTATGAGACAAATGTCAACAGTATATTGTCGTCTGAATTGCTTTCATTATATTGTTATATTTGTGTTGTTGCTTTATCTGTTCGTCATAGATATTCGTAAATCAAAAATAATTTATTATTGTATTTTTATTTCGATCAATTTTTTGAATGGGAAGATGAAAATCCATTTGTAAAAGATTTGCCTCGAAATCTTTTTTTTTGTCAAATTCTATTTAATGTTGTAATATGATGTATAATGTAGTCATACTTAATCTACTCACTTATGTTTTGTATAGACAGCTTCATGTTTGAATTAATAAATAGAATTAAAACATCAATCTAGAACTGCAATTATTTACTGATATTTTAGTCAACAAGAAATGACCTACAAAGAAGGGCGAACATTAGACCACAATCAAGTCTACTGACTTTTTTCAACGCGCCATTGTGGAAACTATACAATTTGACCGATCACTGAACGGTGTAGCTTTCGGTACTATTTTACGAATACTCCAATAATATTCCAGAAGTCATTGTGAATCTTGTTAGTATCAGTATTTTTGCGATTTTATCACGACACCTGCTTTCGAGACCGTGTATCTATACACATATGTTACAAGATTTATGATAACATAACCAAACAAGTTTAATAGTCATCATAGCTGTTAACCAATTACCAGTAATATACATGACATCGTAACTTAATATTTCGACAACAATCTTGCCAAAACAAAAATGCTTCATCAAGATTTTCTTATTATAACTACTAGAAATAGGCTAGTGATTTAAAATCAACTAAATAGGTTAATATAACTATGCTCGCTAGTCTAGCATTCATTGTGACACTGGTAAAAATAAAGTAAAAATGACTGTTTTTCATAACTGTTTTGACAAAGTCATGAGAAAAGTAAAATATCTCTCGTAATTCTTTTATTATAACGAGATATAGGTTAGATCTTAAGAATGACGTGAATAAGTCAAGATTAGCCATTGTGTACATCCAGAATGAAGGTATACTAAGGAGGAAAAAGCGAATCCTGATATTCTTAGTATCTCTATTCTATTGTACATATTTTGAGCATATCCGCTGTGTTCTTCGTACATTTTTCACATCCTACATATTTTACCATTTTATCTATATTCGACTATAAGAAATAGTCTCATCCAATCTCTTTTATTCTTTTGTAGAACATTATCGACTTGCCTACTCTACAGTCTGTTTATGTGCACATTTTTCGTTTTCATCAATCGAAATACGAAAATATGAATTGATTTTTGAAAGAGGAATTTTATCGAACATTCTTATCCCTTGAAACTGTGATTCTTCGCTGCTTGAGTAAATGAGTAATTCATTAGTTTCACCTTCAGAAGAACTTTCTGTGTTCGCAATGGATAAACTACTGGTCGAAAGTATTCTTCTCTGCCTCCGCTTGAAGTTCAGTCACTACACGAACTGTTTCTCGAATAAAGTGCATATCTCTATAGTTCTCGTTGTTTTACATGGAACTCAGCTCAATACATGATAACACGTTAACCTTTTTTTTTTTACAAGATGAGTCACTAACTATTTTTCCAACTGGGGAACAAGACCAAATATCTTTGGCTATTTTTGAAATTTCAATAGATCATTAACAATGAACACGTGTTTCATCGTGTTATTTTGTCATAAGAAAAGATCGAAAAAAATTCATTATGTGATTGACAATCTAGGGTATTTTTAATCAAATAAATGCTAGATAGAACGAATTGTTTCTGACACTATAAAGAACCAAAATATCTATTACTCCACCAATACCTCCTACGAGACAGTTTAATCTTGCAGCACAGATTATAGAACACGCCAAGTCGCTTATAAATCACTGTGTTTTTCTTGTTTGGAAACTATTACTGAGATCACCAGAAACAATACCTTCTTTTTCCTTCTGATTTTTACAGGATTACAGGAAAAAAGCTACTTCTTTCTTTCTCGCTTCGACATGCTCTATAATCTAGATGACTCAAAAAGTTTTTGACGAAGAAACGTTTTTGCTCAGAATGATTGGATTTTGAGAAAATAGGTCCCTAGAGTTCTAGCTGCCAATCTCGGATTGGCCTTCAAAATTATCATGGTCGATTATATATAGTCTATTGTATTTGATAAAAAAAGTGATTAGATAGTTAGAAACTATCCGCCGTCGGCGTCGAAATATATGACAAACTCATTCAAAGCTTTTTGTAATCGATAGCAGTTCTTTATCAGAAGTCACCCGTCAATAGTTTTATTGTATCTATCACATACATTTTGTATTTTCTCTACTGCATCCCGAACATATTCGAGATGCCAGAAATCCACTTTGCCCCTTAGCAGTTTAACTATCCATTTTTGTCGTACGACGTGCAAAAACAAGAAGTATTAGAAACCTCTTTCTATGACAAATGACAACTGAAAGCAAATAGTATGATTCATTACTGTGGTCTCTTACAGAATATCATTATCGACACCATAGAAAGTAATGAAAATTTTTGTATTTCTCTTTCCCATGATTAGTTCCCGTGTCTCTATTGGATGGTTTGCCTGTTGACAGAAGGTATTTGTCTTTCTTTCTGTTTGAAAGTTATGCGCTCCTAATCCTTGAAAAATAAGGCGTAGAGAGCGATAAAAAAAATCATTCTTGACTTAGTCATTTGTCGATCGTTCATTTATTGAGAATTCAACAAAAAAATGAATGTCGTACAAAGTTCTTTCTACATTTGTATTTAACGGCTTAGAGAAATTTCTATGTGCACATGGCAGTTGGGCAACGATCTGTCATGCTGCTCATTTGACTGGCAATCGTGCGAAAATAATCAGCAATGCTCTGCCTGTGATTGAATGTCTTCTCAAACGTCATTCACGTATGCGTACTCGTCTGCGCGTGGAAGCCAATGAATATTTACTTGACACACTTGAATACAATCAAGAATATCTATCGAGTGATTTGTTTTTTTCGACGATGGACTCCAGTGAAGAATCGTGGCAAGATGTTGTCGAACGTAGATGCAATCAAAATCCATATTCGAATAATGGTATATTGATCTTTCCACTTTTTCATTTCGTTCTGCTATTCAATTCACAATTGTCTGAGAACGACGATCGTTTTCATTTGCTCCTCTTTGAAAATCATTGTGCTTCCGATGGCCGAAGTGGATTTGTTCTTATCAACGACTTTCTGACTTTGGCCACATCACCAAATTTGAATCCCATGTCAGAACCACTCAATGTCGATATTATTCCATTGATTGGTAATATGATTCCTCGATCATTTAGTCCTTTGTATCTGGTATTGTCCCTACTCGGTAAACATCTTCTCAAGTATGAATACCGAAAATTAACTCGACCACGGATTCCCATCAAACTCAATCCACTATCTGATAATCAATCGAGTCCGTTTCATGCACCACGATACCACATCAAGTTTCTCTTTTCCTCGAGCTCAGTTGATCTCTATGCAAATTTACATAAACAATGTCAATTGCGTCAAGTGACGTTAAATGGTCCACTGTTTGCATGTCTCCTATTAGCTATTCATCATTGTTTTCCACTGAAACATGACACTCGATTGCAACCATTTCCGATCGGCGTTGCATTCGATATGCGTTCGCGTCTGCCCAGATCACCGTTGGCAGAAACATCTGTCGGGCTCTTTATTGGATGCAGCGAAATGAAACTTCGCCGATCACTTTCAATGCGATCTACCCGATTTTGGTCTTTATCAGAGCAATGTATGGTAAATACGCGCAATCAATTGAAGTCTAATGGTGTTCCGTTGAACATGAATATTTTGGCCAATATTGCCAGAAATGAACGAAATTTTGCCCAATTCACTCGATATTGTCCCGATGGGCGCCATTCAGAATTGGGCTTTTCGAACGTTGGAAAATATCCATATTCGTGCGAATACAATCAAGGAGAAATTCGCTTGCGTGGTTTACATGTAGTCAACAATGTTAGTATTTATCGTACATCAACAGTAATATTCGTCACATGTGCGGGCGATGGGCAGTTGGACTTTTCCTTGGCTCATGAAATGGATAGCGACAACCGAGCTAAACAATTTTTCGACTTCTATCTACGTCTCATTGAAACGTGTGCTGATGAAAAATTTTGTCGAGAAGAAACGACGCTCAATGACATTTTGAAATCTGTCCAACAGTAAGAAAGTTCGTGTCTATCAATCGTAAGTTATCTGTCTGAAGAATGAAATCAAGATCCGGTTGCTTTTTACTTGACTCAGTGTACTCTTCTTTTCGTTAGCGTATCATTCACGTTCGGCGTTTTCATTTCCTATCTCACTTAATTATATATGTTCTTTTCTTTTGATAAATGTTATCCATACCTTATATCCTTGTCTGTAGTGTTGTATCTATGTTTGATGGAATTCACGTCATTGTGTGATCTTGATCATCCAATGAATATTTTCCCGTCAGGACTCATCTGTTATCCTATAAATAGTATATAATTTCCTATATTTACGACATATATAATTCTATTATATTTATCTTCAGTTATCCGCCTATTATTTGTGCACTGACCAATTGTTAGCCAGTTTCAAAATCACAAACAATACTCAAGCATTTTTCAAGGTACCACATTGGTAGTGTGTAAATCAAGAAAGAAAGAGAAACAATTCTAACGTCTTCAAAAGCACGAGCGAAAAACACAGAGAGAAATACTAATATAAATTAATATGGGAGTCATGTCAACTAATGCAAAGCTAGATATTCCGTGAAATGATTTTTTTTTTTCGTTGCATTGCATTCCATCTAGAGTCTTGCTTGTAAATAGATCATAAGATTAGTGATATAATAATTATGAGCTTTCCGAATGAAGTTTAAGATGCCAGTTCCAGTTACTGGTCACTTGTTGTGTGGGTTCAATTACCACTGTTGTCGCACTTGCTGTTAGATTTATCTATGAGATAACACCGCACAAAACAAAAAAATCATTCTGATAACAATTTATGATTGTTTTTTTTTGCTTTTCCTCTCTTTTCTATATCATTCTCTTTATCTTAGTCTTTCCTGTATAAACCATTAACACACTATCAAACATTGTAGAAACGAATCAATTGAAATCCACCTCACTGCTATCTATCATGATTCATGAAACTTTATTGACCATTACAGATCTAGTTACTTCAAGAATGCTTACTGAATGAATAATACCGCACACTATCAAGCAATATAATAATCATTCGAAACAATACTCAAATACTGGAAAGTATATTTGATCAAAAATAAAACCAAAACAACACCTTCTAATTCAACACTCTTACATGCCGAGTCAAGCGATGCCCGCAATCAATACATGATATTGAGCTCTGATTCGAATGAAAATTCAATTACGATCAGAGAGTCAATGGAACACATCATCATTCAAAAAAATCTACATCGTCGCCACACAAATCAACTCAATATTAAAAAATAAAACAACAGAATAGAGCAAAAAATACAGACGATATGTATAGTCATACAACATGTAGAATGTGCATCCAAAAGTTAAAAAAGAAACACTATTGTCACAACATTTGTTTGGTTTCAGTTTTGACGAAAATCGTTTGAACAATTTTTATGTAATAGACTAAATGACAAAAACTGCTTCATAGCAAAGAAGTTCTGATACAGTAGTGTTTATCATCTACCAATACAAAATGTACATTGAATGTTTTTGAACAACCACATATTCTCAAAAGCCTATTTTCAAGTAATGATACATAATTTGACAATGGAAATTAACACTTAAATGTTAGTTTTCTAAGGATTTGCTAGTGAATTTTTTTTGTAATAATACTCTTGTTTAGTGCTGTATTAATGTGATCTGATCTCCTATGCATCTCGATTAACATATTTATAGTTCGTGACAATTTCATTCGTCGTACGCTCTATGTATAGTTGATACTTTTCTTAAAATTTCAAGGTATTCTTAAGTTGCGAAGCTCACTCAATAGTCGAATTCTTACACTCCGTGAGAGACTGTTGTTTAAAATAGAATTCTTACTATTAATTATGATTGTGAAAAGCAAACTTTAGCAAGATTCCAATAAATACTATTTTGATTTAGTTTCATTCATTCGTAGACACAATTACATATCTGCCAGTCAGATAAAAGATTACATTTTACAATTTTATATTTCGAACAATTATCTAAATTAATTTGTTACTGTTTACAAGTATGTTCTTTTTGAAGTATACATACTATAACATGTTACATACAACAGATTTTTTTCGTTTTCCGATAGAAAGAAAAAAAAAACAAGAAAATGAATCATGACGACTGAGGAAGACAAAATGAGCAATGACATATGATAGATGGATATTTATTTATGTATAGACCCCATTAGGATTGTAACATACGTTTTATTCACAAATAGAATATATAATATTACATAGTAAACAAGAAGTAATATGTATTGGATCCTATACTACTGATATTGGTTGTCAAAATTCTTTTAACAAATGTTGCTCTATTGTAGTATAAAACAAGTTTTTTTTTTTATTAACTTTCAGTTTTTTATGTACATTCTTTTTGAAAAAGTTCGAACGTGTTCCACTCGGTGACATACATTTCTGTTAATAAATATGATTTTACATATTACTGTTGTTCAACACCATTGTCATCTTCATTTTTATAACTAAGGATAAGTTAAGATTTATAGTCAACATATAAAAGTAAATGACAACATTGTTCAAAATTTTTACTTATTTTCTTATGAAATATAAGTAAATAGTACATCGCTTTCAGATGAATCGAAAATCGAAAATTATTGATACAATTATTTCATTTTGTTACGATCAAGATGAGACTATCCCCATTTCACATATTTGCTATTCGTTGATTACATAAGGTGCATACTTTTCATGATGGAACAATTGAAATTGTTGATCATTAATCTTATTAAAAATATTAAATTGTTATGCGTTGTGGGTGACGTCACGGTACATGTGACACGTTTATATCAAGTCTTATATTGAAGAGATGAGCGATTCACAAAGTTATAACGAAATATAGTTAATGCTTTATAAAAACTCCGTAAAAGACTCTAGAATGTCCATCATTATATAATAGCATATATACTTATAATTTCATTATTTGTGATATATGCTATTATATAATGCTGAACATTTTAGCCTCTTTTGCGGTGTTTTTACCTAGTGTTTGCCATATTTTACTATAGTTTTGGGAATTGTTGATCTCTTCAATATAAGAATTTATAGGGAATCATGTGCTATCATAGAAAGTAAATTGATTATGCTCTACACAATTTGAAACATGAAAATCGATTTGAAGGAAATCATGTATAAGGTGTCATATATACTGTAGATTCACTCCTGCACAACATCACAAAAATTTTGACTTTCGTTTACATCTGCATTATGCATCGTTATATTTAAATTCATGTTCTATTATAAATATGATTTAGGTTGTTTTTGGAGAAAAAAGTTTTATTGACTTTATTAAGCCTCAAGAATCTCGACATAGAGCATCATGACAGTTCGATCGTTTAGTACTACGATGCTGCTTTTTCTATTCGAAATATTAAACTATAAAACAGACTTTATAATTTATCACATATTGAGTGCATTATAATTATTGATGATAGAATGCCTTACTCTTTATCTATAATTTAATATCAAGCTCAGTTACAGTGATAGTTTATTATTGAAATAAGAATGCTTTTTCTAAATAGTTCTTACCGGTGTGAAAACACATTGTGTCTATTTAAACAATGTTTTGTATACATTATTATTTTTCTTTCTATTAAGCTCTATTAAATACGAAAAACGATCAGAGAAATACAAAATGATGTGAAATATAAGCTGCATAGAGATAATATATCATAGTAAAGAAAAAAAGATAAGGCAATGTAATTGTAAATAGCTTCTATTTTGATTATCCTAAATTATTTCAAGTCGATCAAAAACCATTTCAAATACCACTAAAAAAATATTACTCATCGCTAGAACATTTTCATGACATAAGAAGACAATCTAAAAGGTTTGGATTATTGACGTCATTGACATTATTTTAGTTCATAATAAATAGCAGTACGTACGTACTTATATGCCCAGGTAAATAGAAAGAAAAAGGTCAGAGTTGGACAGATATTCACATAAAGAAATAAAAAAAAATTGTAGGATATATGAGAATAAATGATTCTTTCATGATCGATTAACAAAAAACTACAAAATACTTGATGTGACTGATCGATTAATCACGTAATAAATATCAAGAACGATATGATATATAGTCTTTAGTAGAAGAAAATTATTTTATTGATCATTGCTTCTATCATTGTTTTTCTTCTCTAAAAGTTAAAGACACTTTGATAAAGAGGATTAAGCTCTTATCTATGACTCAAATTAAAGTTAAAACTAGTCCTTTTTATTTCAACAAACACCTACGCACACTAATACATATACATATAAAAGAACATTATACAATCTCTCTTTTATTGTTTCACTTAAGTACATACGACATACACAAAATGAGAACGACATTGTAGTTGAGATGAGTGATCAGTAAATTACAATAGTGTATATGAACGAGAATTTTGTCATAATACACAAGCTACTAGTTTAATTTTGAATACAATGGTTGCCATGAATAACCTATGATATATTGAGAGAAATTTCTCAAGTCTACTAGTATTTTTTTTCTTCGTTAAAAGGTATGTTACATTAGTTTATTAGATAGAAAAACTAAATAATAAAATTGACGATGAATGAGACTTTAGTACTTTTTTTAAATCATTCTATAGATTTTCAAAAATTCTATATCGTTTCAGATGCTATCTTGTATTGTTATTATCGTTGTTTATTTTTCATTGGTTCAAGGACAAATAAATGATACCGTCGTTCGTCAAACTCGTCCTCTATCATCATCGTCATTTGATGAAATTATGATCGATGGTGCTTTTGATGTTTTTCTAAGTCAAGCATCAAATGGAATTTCTACCCCTACTGTTGAAATTGAAACAAATGCCGATATTCAAAATCGTGTTATTGTTGAAATTATTAATAATCATATTCTTTCAATTCATATTAAAGGTCCATTTATGGTTGATAAAAATATCTATGCTTATATTCGATTTAATTCACCATTACGTCGTTATATTGTTAAAGGTACTGGTAATACAATAACAGATGATAATGGTATATCAAATGATGATAAAGATACATTTGTATTAGACCATCGAGGTGTAGCTAATGTTGCTATTCGATTAAATGTTAATAATTTTCAAGTTTATTTTACTGGTACGGGCAATAGTCGTTTCTGGGGACAAGTTCGACAACAAGCAACATTCGATGCTAAAGGAGTCGGTGATATAAATGCATTAAATTTATCAACAAAACAAGCAAAAGTAAAAGCAATGGGAGTAAGTATAGTACGAGTGGCAGCTACAGATGATGTTCAAATTGAAGTTACTGGTGTTTCAAGTGTCTACTATCGATTACCTTCGGGAAAAAAACCAAGCAAAGCTATTTCAACTGGACTTGGAAAAATTGTACCTATTTCTTAAATTTCTATTGAATATATAATATTTTAATTTAATAATTTTTATTGATGAATATGATTTAATAGAAAAATAGTCTTTTATTAATTTTGTAGTATTAAAGAAATAAAAATTTAATTTAAAATTTAATATGTTTGTGAATACCATCGGAACTAATGAAAGTCGCTCAGTATAATAGGGTATTCCTAGAGAGCGAAGAATCAAGAAATATAAATTAAAACATCAGTTTTATCACTTTCTGTCTTCTTTTAAGTACTGCTCACATGCTACCTAATAAAGTTAAACATTATCATTGATGATTTGACTAAAATCATAATTCATCTTGCACTTCATCATTTTGTTTAGATTAGTTTCATAATCAGTAATCTATTGATTCTTTTCTTTATAAAATATTTGACACAGCAAGAATGGACACTTGAAATTGATTTCATAATTCACAATGCAATAAATCAAGTTCTTTATCGTTGATTAAGTTTACTTTTTGCAATAAATCGAGAGATTTGTGAAATTCTATATCTGATAGACAACGATTGAAAAGTTATTCAAAAAAATACCGATATCTGTTTATCCATTCTTTTTCTTTTTTCTCTTCTTGGCTTTCATTGAATTGGAACGACTTCCACATCTTCAATGATGTAGTTTCATCAAGTAGTGCCTTCTACTGATGTTAAGATTGACAAAGTCAATGCATACAAACGAAACCAAAACAATTTGTTCACTTTCAAAATCAAATGAATGTACAATTAGTTATCTATTATAATCCGATAGTCAATGATGTAAATGCAATCAAAGCTGTTCATTTGAGAAATAATACTGTTGTTGTCTCGGCTCCTGAAAGCATTGATGTATTAGATAGAGAACGGCTTGTCGTTCAATGTGCTTTTATAGCAATGTTGCAAAATGATGGTCAATCAATTAAGTTAAAACATCATATGAAAAGATTCATTTTTTTTATTTAATCTAACTGCTGTTGGAAAAGTCTTGACGCAACATGTTTATTCATTTTTTAGTAGTTAACTAAAATCAGAATTTTTTTAACCCGATATTATTTTATACACCAAGCAGTTCTAAGAAAATTCACGAACAGCGAAAAAACACTTCATTTGTTAGTAGAAATGTCGTTTTTTTTGTTTCTTTCAGCGTTAACTTACAATGAACCAACATTAAGACAAAAATGTATTCTGAACACATATCAGAGAAGAGTAGGTAAGACTGATTTTTAACGAACTACGTACTTTGGTTCTTATTTCAGATACTTTTAGTGGCTGAAAGATGAACAAATATATGTACAATAGCTTTTATTTGTAAAAACATCATTTTCGACTCTATTAGGCATTTGATTTATTCCTAATAATCTCTAAGCTAAAAAAATATTCTGATGATATATTCGAAAAGACAACAAAATTCTGATTTTAGTTAACTATTTTTGATTCTCACTAAGCATGTATAGGTGATTTTGTGTGTTTAAGTTATAGCTTTGATTCGACTATATCTACTCATCGTACCATTCGATTATCACTTCAAGAAATTCATAATGAAAAACGTATACCTTATTTAATTATAAATAACTTCTTAGATCGATCTATATCAAAATTTTATATCGATTATATAGCTGATTATTCTTTGAGTGGTTATGTCGTTACAACACAAAACAGATGTACCAACACGACATAGTAAAAAATGTTTGAATTAACTGCACTTGGATTATTCTTTAGAAACTTAAGTACCTGAACTTGTTCAATTCAAACATGGACACGAAAACGAGATTTAATACCGACACTACTTTTTGATAAAACTGTTAATATTATTAATATTGAAAGGATGGTATATGATCTCGAAAAACAGATTAAATTACATCAAATACATATTAAATCTATATTTGAAAATTAACAACGTATTCAACAAAATATTGAAACATTAGAAAAAGAGTTGATCAATTCAATTTAGTGATACAATATTTAAAAGATTTAAATACTTAAGAAGATGATTTACAAGAAACACGACATCAAATTAAAGCAATGCTCAAATATGAAGCTAAAGCGACACAAAAAAGAATTATTGTATCTAATCATTTTTATCATTTGATGATGGGTTTTTTAATAAAATAGATATTAAACAAAACAAATGAATAGAAGATATGTATATTCACCATCTAGAAATTGAAAATTTAAAAAATCAAGTGGAGTTTACTACTAGGAGCCCTTGAATCGTGATTGTAAATGTCAATATGCATCACAGCATCCTGACAAACTAAGCTGGCAATGTATTTGTTTGAACGATTCTTTTCCTAGGCTTCCAACCGACACTGCAGTCTATGTGTCAATTTTAGTAACTTCCTCAGTAGAGCTGTATATCTCAGTGCTTCGAGGCATGCTCATTTTAGAATCTCTTGTATTAGTCAAGTTTCACATAAATTGCTGTTGAATTTCTAATTTCTGAATGGTGGATAGTACTGATCTGAATTAAAATCTTTATAAAAAGCCATTGAAATAGATAACCCACAAAAGAAAAAATCTGACATCAATTGTGTTAGTTTATGCTTCTATAAAATGATATTTCAATTTTCTCGATGTCAACAGAATAATCCATAAGAACCTATAATAGAAGATGTCTGAGTCGAACACGGAAGAGCCAAGTAACTCCAACATAAATGATCTAAAATTGAGGTTTTAAAGCTCGCTGAAGGGAGAAGATAAACTGAATAGTATCGACCTGAAACTAAGTTGAAGATGATGTAATCTTTGATTCTATTTTCTATTCTCAGAAATGAACACTTGATCTTTAATGATTTCTGTTCTTTGTAGTTATTATGCATTGTGAAATGCGACACTCGTAGGCACACACCACTGTGCGTACATTGTGCAAACATAAAGAGAGGAAGAAAATTACATTAGGAAAATAAACGGCACAAATGAGTCTTTCAGTTTCTATGTGATTGAACTGACATAAGTCTGGATTATTTTTCTCACAAAGAAATGAACGTTCTTAACCACAGTTCAACTTCATCATCAACGGATGTTGATACTCCTTTCACACGAAAAATCAAATTCGGCATTATCGTTACACTCGAACCACCAGCTGTTCTATGTAATTTTCTCATCGTTTACTATCTCATTGTCGATCGAGCTCTTCGCGCTGCATTACATAATCATGTCATTTTGGCATTACTCATTGTTACTTTACTGACTAATCTAGTTTAGATACCACGCATTTTACACTACTTACACATTGGTACTATTACACCGCGAAATGATGTCTATTGCCTCATCTGGCAATGGTGCGATTATTTGCTCAGTGCTCAAGCAAATTTGATCATGTTGTGGGCCTCGATCGAACGGCACCTGCTTGTTTTTCATGCCCATTTTTTCAGCTCATCGAAGCGTCGATTGTACATACATTATTTGCCCTTGTTGATGATTATTGTCTATCTTATTTTCTACTACATCGGGGTTATCATAATTTATCCATGCAATAAAAAGGAAAAAATCAATCACGATGCGCCTCTCTGTGATGCACCGTGTTACACATATGAGTCGATCATATCGCTTTATGATCTATTTGCACATAGTTTCCTTCCTGTATGTTTCATTGCACTGCTCAGCGCCGGTCTTGTCGTTAGAGTAGTGTATGGCAAACGAGTACATCGTTACCAGCCCGTTCAGTGGCGAAAACATCGCAAAATGATCTTGCAACTTTTGTGCATGTCATGTCTTTTTTTAGTTTGTGTATCTCCTTCTGCTCTAGTGCGTTTTATCCAAATCTTCTCTGGAATGCCCAATTTCGCTGCTTATATTGACATAATATACTTCTATTATTTATTCTGGCTGCTCGCACTTCTTTTAACGTTTGTCTGTATTAGTTGCTTGCCCGAGGTGGTAAACAAAATAAAAAAAACAGCTGATTCGTTGCATGTATCAAAACAATGTGGTGACACCTGATATTGGAAATCAATCGCAACACCGTATTTCGACACGTTCTTTCATTAGAAACATTTAATTTATCTAACACAGTTCATCGTAATATCTTCTCTATATTGAGGATCGTATTATCGACTATCAACAGGTCCGATGATATTTATTTGTGTATAAATTCATGGATTGTTGAAATCAGAAAAAACAAGCGATTAGTCGACTTTCCCTGCATCATTTTGATTGCACTCAATCATACCAAACTATTCGTTGATGTAGAATTTGTTTTGATCTCACGATTTATTGTTTTTTTTAAAACTGTTATTGAACCAGACTAGTCTGAAATATTGATCTTTCTCCCTCAGACTCATTTCTATTCATATTATTTACACCAAGAGGGGAAAATACTGTTTTGATTACGGAATCTCAGAAATAAGTAAAGACGACGAGGTAGGACAAGTACATTCTGTAATTGCTCAATTCCAGAAATCCCTTTGTGATCAAGACAATCTTGATACATCTTTATTTTCAATCAGAAATCCTACATTCACTGCTATCCCTTTCTATCCATGGTCGAATCAACAGAGTTGAAAGCAATAATTCCTTTTTTAATCATGTTCAGCTTTTGCAAGAACGTCAATATGACTTGTGCTCTATCCGTGTTGAAATCCGATCCAATCAACAAAACTTAACTAGGAAAAAAATTATTTGCCATTATTTATTAAATGATCGAGCACAAACATGGTTCTTCTAAGGACTATAAGAGCAGTATCATGTGTGAGAGTCGTTACGCACAATCTTAAATCGTCGTTTCTATCTATTCGATCTGATTGGTTTCAACTAAATGTTTTTGAAATTTGAGGTATTATTCCTCGATAGCACTAATTACTGAATGTTTGAATCTGATCAACAATGATGAAGATGTTATAGGCATTTAATCTCTGTTTTCATTGTAACTCTTCGATGCGTAGTACGGCTCGATAACGATTGTTCTGTTCACGTTCAATGCAAAATTAATCACTTGAAACTGAGACTAAACAAGCAATGCATAATAGTTGTCGACTATTGATGATAGTTTGCATGAAAAAAACTTGACTAGAGTAGACATTTGTTCAATTTTGTATGCAACAAGCATGAATTGAATGTAGTAAATTGAAATTGGATTCAATGAACAAATCTTCATTGATCATTTTCGAAATGGATTTCATGAAATTCGTCTAAGCTAATCTCATGAAAGAGGCAAACATCGTATATCATTGCAAGTCAGGAATACGTACGTTGAATTATTTTCGCCTCAATTCAAGGTATTGTTTTTATACAAAGTATTGATTAGAACTTTAGTTGGAGTAGTTTGTCATCGATAATGTAGAATGTAAGAATTCATAACATCGTCGATACAAGATTTTTATTGAACTACGACCATGGATCCGAATGAAGAGACAACTTTCATGTACATCTACAACAAAAGCTCGTTTTCTTTTTAAGTTTATTTGTTGAAACATCGATATAATCAGTAGCAAACAAAAACAGTTGCGATTGGCTGAATACTTTTCATTCCAAAGAATGAATAATTATGTGAGTAGTGAGGGACTCTGTGCAAGAATTCTAATAAAATACGTATCTTTGTTTCTCTATATGAAACAAAAACTGCTATGTTGTTGTATCGATTAAGAGACTACGATATAATGCTGATTTTTTTCTCGAGCTTGCCCTTTGATCACTACTTGCATATTTATTTGGTAATTAATTACTATAAATTACATATTTGCTTTGCAAATAAAGCAAGAAATTGCTTATCGATTGTGTACTTACCTGTCATGGAAACACTAAACTATGCATTGGAAGAAGTCGACGAGATTTACACTCAGAATTTGAGCGATCATGCATTCTTATTCAGAATTGGAAAGTGAACTTTTCGTCGAATCTTTCTTCCTGTTGAGTTAAAAATTTCTTTTTTTTTCTTTTTATTTATTATTCATTTATCGCCATCTCCTACTGATTTAAAGATCATTTTTCGGGTTTCTGAACCCACGTATGATAGTTATGACCATATCTTTATCGTGAAATGCGGACGTAGGTGTGGGAGTGACTGAAGAGAAGTCGATATCTTCACACTTACTTTTTGAAAAGCCTTTTTCTAAGTCATCGGCAAGTATCCGACTAAGCTTGTGATCATATTTGTAGTTGGAATTGCTACATTTGAATATACATCTAGTCTATCTTTTCGATATCTGAACAACTGAAGCTTTGAAGAAGGAAGATCAGTTAAGTGATTGACATCATAAAATTCAATGCCTTTGTGCTTTTAATGAATCTTGTTTTTAGTAAACGTTTAACTACTGTTTTCAAACATGATCATTAGAATGGATAACATGAATAGGTAGTCAAGAAGATGTTTAAGAAATAAGAAATTGTCTCATTGTCATCAAGAAGATAGCAAAAACCTTGTATTGTAAAACAGTTATCTTTTTAGGACAAATGAACGATTTTCATCTATGACAGTAAACAGTATTTCTCAATGTTATTTCGATCAAATCTTGCGATGGTAAATGCACATTTCAATATTACTCATCGCAAAACAATAAAATTAGCTTCTTGATATTTTTAGTAATTAAGTAACGAGCACTATGCCGAGTATTCCATGGCCACCTCCTGCATTTGTTGTAGAGAGATATATACAGTGTAATTCATACCAAGAGACTGTCTAAATTGCAGAAGCTTTTGGACTTCCTAAGTACCACTAAATAACTGATTGCTGGATTTTTGAATTATTACCATATTACTGCAGCATGCTCCTTGAAAATGAAAGTTGTAGATTGACCATCAAACATCATAAGGTATACATTTGTTTGCTTTCCCTATTAAAACAAAAAGGTCAGATGATAATCAATTATTTGATTTTAAAACAATCGATTTTTCATTAAGTTATAATAACATCATTTTAATACGGTCGTAATCTTATTTATCATCAAAATTATTTTGCATGGATTTGTAAACCTCATGCAGCTTGACAAATTTTATTATTTTTAAACAGGTGCACAACAGCAATGACTTTTTATTCAAATTTTTCTACTGTCAATTTATGTCTTTCATCAGCATATCATCGAAAAGTTTAATACCAATATGTATAGGGTGTGGGTGTAGGTGTGGATGTGGGTGTGGGTGTGTATGTGGGTGTGTGGGTGTGGGTGTGGGTGTGGGGTGTGGGTGTCGGTTTGGGTGTGGGTGTGAGAGGCTGGGTGTGAGTGTGGGTGTGCTCTTCATTCAACCTACACTTAAAGCCATGCCCACACCCCACACCCACACCCACAGTATCTATAGACAAAAAGATCATTGAAATCAGAGATGACCGTTTGAAGTTATTCTTTCGTAAGTCGTAGTAGAAGATTCTTGAACGATCTTATTGTTATACAAGAATTTCGAGATTAAAAGTTTGTATATAATTTCATTTGATGTTACAAAACGCTATGTCTGATTTTGTGACCTGAGTTCAGATCTCTATATGTCACAAGTATTAATCAAGATTTTCCATGGTGCATTGATCAATAAACTCGCCTAATTTTCGGTAACCGTAATTGAACTTATCAGATATCACACAAAAGTCTTATTCGGTTTCATTTTTTTTCCAACGAATAATTTATTAAATTTTAATAAAGACTAACGAATAGTAACTTTCACCTTAGAAATTTGATTTAATATGTAAGTATCCTTTCGGCGATGAAAGCCAAAAAAAGGGTGTGACTGTGGCTGTGGATGTAGATGTTGGGGATGGGTATCATCATCATCATCATCATGTCCCATAGGCTTAGCGCCCGTTGGGGCCAACCATTTTTACGGGATCAGATTTTTCCACGCCTGTCGGTCTTGTGCGAGGTGGAACAGCTCTTGTCCACTGCGTTGACACCACTCTGTTATGTCATCCAGCCATTCTCTGCATGGACGCCCCCGGCGAGATTTTCCTTCCATGTTCGAAAATATTATGTGTTTGATTAATCTCGTATCATCCATTCTGCAGATGTGGCCAAATAACCGTAGTTTTCTCTTCTTGATGGTGTCTATTATCGTCTGCTCTTTTGATATCTTTTTCCTGATATCTTCGTTTCGTATCTTATCTTGCCAATTTATTCTTAGAATTCGTCGGTAGCATTTCATTTCAAATGCTAATAGTTTTTTCCTGTCTGCTTCTTTTAAGGTCC